GTTATGATTCATCAGCAAATGCATAGAGTTATCATGTAAAAACTTGGTAAGAGCATCCTTTTTTTGCTATCTGTGATGATCTTTTTATTGAAAATAGCACAAACCCTTAGAATTATTTTTTTCTGGAGCAGCTGAAAGCAAAAATACATGCAAGCTCTCTGGCATTTGAAAGAGGAATGAGGTAAATCTTTGGGGAGAAAGGAATGAATCTCAGCCTGGTTTAGCTCTGCAGACAAGACAGCTAACTTGAATAAAATCCAAGAAAAGTTGAGCAGTGATATTTTTCCCTCCATGTAGCTTGTCAAATTCATCCCAACCCTTCCCATACCTGAAGCTGACCTCTAGAAAATGGCTAAAAATATCTATTGTTTCTGCAAAGCTTTTTGTATCAGCTTAGTTGTACTGAAGTAAGGGATAAATAATTTTTCCCAGTGCTGCATTAACTCAGAAAATAGTCCTTTTTGGGTAGAATGTTTATGGTAAATATCATAGTAAGTGATTTTTCGAATGTGTTGTTTATGGTAAATATCACAGTAAGTAATTTTTAGCATTTGTTTACAAACATTTATTGGAGCTAACAATTTCTTAAATGTACCAGCCTAAATAATTCATTACAGTGTTGGTCACTCAGAAAAAAAAATAGACTGAGGTAGTTCTGGCTTCAATTGCTGCATTCAGATTTGATTGGATGTTTACTATTTGTGTACAAACTCAATGCCCTAATACAGCAAATTTCCCTTCTTTAAAAAATGGCAGAATTACAGCAAGGTTGGGGTTAGAAGGGAGATCAGCCAGTCCAAACCCCTTTTAGGAAAATGCATCAGAAAACTATAGTTTTAGAATGCCTTTTGTACTAATTAAGCCAAAATGCATGAATTATTAAACATGCTCATTTGCAGTGCTCATGCACTTGAAAGGTTTGCTTTCATTGCTAATAAGGCACACACACAGCTGAAAAGAGGTAATTAGAGCATCAAAGGCAATGAACCATCCTGAAACTTCATAATGCTTTGCCTGAAAAAAAAATCATTCAGCTGAATAGCAAGAAACCCAAAAAAATGCCTATACTGTTGTGTCCAGAGGATAAGAACCAAAGTCTTTCCAAGTAACTCCATAGATACAGCAAGAAGCTTTTATTCGCTCAAAAATACCTTCAGAATTGATGTAGGAATGGCAAAAGTGAACCCCTGCGGTTATATTTCAAAGACTGTGTTTTCAAGTCAGAAACCCATTAGTTCTTATAAATCAAAGACTCTTTTTCATCCTGTGAGACCATTTCAACCCTAGCACAGAAGAAAAAGTTCCATTCTGAAAATTTTTCTTTTCCGATAATTTTAATAATCTAGCTTTTTTTTTTTTTTTTTTTATAAGCAATTGCAGGGAAAGATGCTTCTTGCAGATAAGAAGGAGCACTGGCACTTTTTATGATAGGAAAATGTGTACATCATATCAAATAATGAGGGCTCTGTGTAAGCCATGTCAGAGATTGTGCTTTGAGTATCCAGCTTTGGAGAGCAAGTTACACTCTGTGGTTTCTCATTACTGCAATCCTGTTGGAACTTTGCCCCCAGACATTTAGAAAATTACAGTAAAACGACTGCATATTGTTTACACAGATTATTGACTGTGCTTTCTTATGTAGATTTTAAGGGGAGGGGAAAGGGCTTTTCTACATAGCCTGAAGCTCTTAAATACACATGAGAAATGTCTAGACAGCAGCTTGCAAACCAACCTCCATCTCTGTAAGGTTCAATGCTCATCTCTTTTATAGTCCTCTCAGTTGATCTCAAGGAGTAGCGATGTGTTGAGGCACAGAAACAGCTCCCCGAGGTATCTGTGGGGAGCTGCCAATGAGCTGTGCTCTGACTTCTGCTCTGCACCAGCTCCTTCCTGGAAAGTCAACCGTAAAGCAAAAGATGCAGTGGAAAGAGGGAATGAGTGTAAAAGGACCTGACTGGTCTCAACGAAGCTGTGGATGTTGTGCTGCCTGGCAGAAGCCCATGACAGCCAGTGTTGAGGTGACAGACACCTTTGGGAGAAGGCCTATTGTTGTGGAAAATAGAATCACAAAATGGTTTGGGTTGGAAGGGACACTAAAGGTCATCTAGTTCCAACCCCTGCCCTGGGCAGGGACACCTCCCACCAGCCCAGGCTGCTCCAAGCCCCATCCAACCTGGCCTGGAACACTCCCAGGGATGGAGCAGCCCCAAGTGCTCTGGTCAACCTGTGCCAGTGTCTCAGCACCTCACAGGGAAGAATTTCTTCCGAATATCCAATCTAAACCTACTTTCTTTCAGCTTAAAGCCATTCCCCTTGTGCTATTTCTACATGCCCTTGTGAAAAGTCCTTCTCTAGCTCTTTTGTAGCCCCTTTAGGTACCAGAAGGCTGTTCTGAGGTCTCCCCAGAGCCTTCTCTAGGCTGAACAATCTCAACTCTCCTGTTTCCATAGCAGAGGTGCTCCAGCCCTGAGTTCAAAGCAGAAAATTAGTCCTCCTCTCCTGGAGCTGGGGGACCTCTATTTTGTGTAGAGGGCAACCATGGGAGCACAAGAGAAACCCTCTTTTCTCCCCCCCAGCAGTGTCTAAGCATCCTGCCAAGAGGGAAGGGATTACTTTGGTTGTAGTTAGTCAAAATGTTTCCACGCCTTCTCTTGGCATCTTTACTGCCCACCTTGGCTGGGGCCCTGACAGTGATAACCACACCTGAGGCAGCCAAACCAAGGCACTCACCACCCTCATTAGTGGGCAGAGACAGGTATGTGGGGGCAGCATCACTCACTCCTACACTCCTGTCTCTCTCTCCCACTGGGGAGGAGAAGGTAGCAAAAGGGCTCCTTATTTAGGCTGCAGTGATGCAGCACATGATACTGCCACAGGGTGATATAAGCATTACCCATCCAGGCTGTCTCCTCCCTGCAGCACATGGGGGATGGGTCCTTGGAGCAAACCTCACAACTGCATTTTGGAAAGGTCCAAAAGAGGACCCAAAGGAACTGAGGAGCAGCATAAGTGAGCAGGGGATGGGGGTCTGAGTGACAACAGGGCAGGGAAGGTGTTGGGCAGTACAGACCTACCCTTGGGCAGCTCAGATCAGTGTCTGTGGCTGAGTGGAGTGAGTTGGTGCCTTCCTGCACCTGTCAGGTCATAGGTCATATTCTGATGGACTTCACCCCAGCAGCAGGTACATTGCTGTCTCAGCTGAAATAGGTCCCATATGCAAAATGTGTTTGGCATGAAAGGTACTGCAGGGGAATAAAGTAAACATATAAAACCAATTAAAGTTAACCCAATTCATTTTTCAAGTGGCAATCAGTGTGATTATATGCACAAACCCCCTCTCTCCAACCTTACATAAATGTTGCCATGGTTCATGTCAGCCTAATCTTGAGATACTCACATCTTACTCCATGGGGGTTAAGTACTGTGTGCCATGTGTCTGTGCTGGAGATGTAGCTAGAATAAAACATATGGTGTCAGACAGTGCCTGGGGGATTTCTATAGGAATAAACACTGATTCTGTTCAAATGTAACTTCTCAGCAATTCTCTGTCTGTGACTTAAAATTATGGGTAGAGCAGATGCTGTTAGTCTTTTAGGTAAAACTTGCAGTGACTTGACTTATGTGAGAAAGCAAAGGACATGTTTTATTTTAGGTCATTAGACAGCTTTTAGCTGGGTTAAGAAAAAAGTAATTGTTACTCACTGTTTTATTATGAAGAAGTGTTTTCCTGGTCTATTGTTTATGCCACTGGCACAGGTCAGTCTTAATTTCTTCTGCTGTAAAGAGCTCATGGAGGCACAGGTGGTGTAGTGCCAAGAGTCTCCTACTTTATACATTCAGGATGCAACCCATCTGTAGATGAGACTATGGTTTTGGTATCAGCCATAAAAAAGGAAGCTACATAGCTGCAGAGGTCTGTAAAGAAGGGGAAATACTGTTCTTGAATGCTCCTGTAACTCTGCTTTTTTTCTTTCATATGTATGTGAGGTTACACCATCAAATATTTTTAGAAAGGAATGTCATTATGTGCCTGGTTGCCTCTCATTTCCTTGAAGGAACATTATGAATGCCTAGCGGGCCCAGGAATAGGAGGAAATAATGAGTAAGAGGTTTTCTTGACAATAGAGAACAGAAGGGAGGGTTGATGCAAGGGTTGGGTGCAGCTCCAGTGCATTTTGCTACCACAAAACCAGCAGCATATTGGTAGTCACAGAAGTAAAAGTCATTGGTGATGTAAACCCAATGATGATGGTTGGCAGTTAAATATTGTTGTACTGGGACAAGGATGTTTCCATTTTATTCAGCAATCTCTTTAGACTGTAGCCTTAATGCTCTCGCATCCATTTTTAAATAGCTTGGTTATTCTAGTCTAGATTGGGGATAATTAATTGGAATTGTAAAGGTTTCCATTTCAAATGGAAAATATTGGAAGTCTATCAAGAACTTTCGACAAATGCAAACCAAGACCTTTTCTTTTAGGATTTTGATAAACAGTTCCTGTTTATCTTCGTCATGCTGTGAGTGGATGTAAAACACATCACACTCCTCATTGTTTCATATTATGATAAGTGGTTAGAATGGATCTTACAGATCATCTAGTCCCAACCCCTTCCCGGGGCAGGGACACCTCCCACCAGAGCAGGTTGCTCAAGGCTCATCCAACCTGGCTGTGAACACTGCCAGGGCTGGGGCAGCTGCAGCCTCCCTGGGCAACCTGGGCCAGTGTCTCACCACCCTCAAAAATATTGTGGTCATTCTATTGTGAAAACAAATAGTAATACTGAATTCTTACAGATCTGCCCAAAAGGAGTTTGTTGATCCATGATTCTGTATGATCAGAGCCTAGCAAATGGCTAACAAACAACATATCAATTAAAAATGCTGCAGTTGGATTGATCACAGTTGGCCAAACCCAACAGTTGGACTCCCCTGGTAGGAAGTGAACAAAATGTAGCACATGACCAGAAATAAGGACTTGTTTTTCACTTTTGCCTCCCCAGGTGATCTCATGCATTTGCCGCCCTACCTTAGGATGGACTTTTTATTGAACCGTGGCGTGCAGGGCACGAGCAGAGACCTGGGTTTGGGGCAAGCCTGCTTGGAGCCACAGAAAAGCCGAACCTTGAAGCGTCCCACCGTCCTGGAGCCGATCCCCATGGAGACATCCTCCACCAGAGAAGTACAGTCATGGCAACCTGGTGCTGTGGCAACGTTACCTCAGCGAGAAGGAGCTGAGCTAGGACAGGCAGCAAAAATGAGCAGCTCCCAAGAATCCCTGCTGGACTCCCGGGGCCACTTGAAAGGAAACAATCCCTACGCAAAATCTTACACCCTGGTATAACAAAAAGAGCATGGCTGGACAGTGGCTGTAAATATTTACACTGAAAACAAAAAACAAAAACAAATCCAATGAAAGCTACCTTTTTTTTATTGAATTCCAATATTTATAATTAAAGAAGAAGATTGCCAAAATATTTGACAAAAAAAATAATAATATGAACGACAGACAGTGCAAAGACTCTCTTGCTTTTTTTCTGTCTGAGTGTGAGCTTCATCTGACTGGACATCTGAATTTTTGGGTAAAAGAGTCCAGTTTTCTGATCTTCACAAGCGTTTGTGTTTTTACTGATTTTCTACGAAGTGCATGGAGACTTAACTCGAACATTTTAACTGGAAGTTCCATCAGACAAGATTTAAAAGGGAAAAAAAAAAGCAAAAAAAAAAAAAAAAATCACCCTCTTTGTGAATTCAACAGGAACATTGATTTGGAGAAAGAAAAAGTCTTTTGTCATGTTTGCACTTTTTTTTTTAATTAGAAAATGGGTCCTTGATTGTTCTTTTTTTTTGTTGTTAATTAGGATGAGTGATGTCAGTGGAGTGAGGAGATTGATTTGGGGTTTTTTTTAATATTAATTTAATGAGACACTCTTTGCATTTTGTCTATGCGAAATAAAAGGGTCTTCTGCCTTTATTTGTGATGTTTGCTTCCATCACCTTCTGCTGTGCTTGGTTTTTGCCTAGGTGTAATAACCATGTCAGTGCTGTTCTCTGAGCATCTTCTTGTGCCATGGGCAGAAAAGGAATGCAGGGATCAAACCTTTGGGAAAAAAAATTGGGGTTCACTTAGCCACAACTCCTTTTGCTACAATGGGGCAGAGAACCAGAAAGGTGAAAATCCCAAATGCTCTGAACCAAATCCACCCAAGACTCTCAGTTTTGACACCAGGAGGTTTTAATTCAGCTTCAGCATTTTTTTTGGATCAGAAGAAATGTGTTGTTGCTTTACTTACTCCTTAGGAATGGATCTTTAGTCCATTTAGGAGCAGCTCTGACAGAAATTAGTTGCTTACATAAGCACTGGGGGGAGAAAAAAACCCAGCTTTTCCCATAATAGGAAAAAAGGGAGGAAGAAGTTATTCCGGGTCTAACGTGTCTTGCTTTAGAGGGAAAGATCTTGTTACGTGGGAGCTGTCAGCTCATATTACTTCGTTGCATCTTTTGATTCTGTTAGAAGTGATATTGCTTGTTTTATACAAAGCATAAATGATTGAATGCTACAGTCAGTGGGTTTAACACAACAGCAGTTGAGCCACCTTGCTAAGTGCCTCCCTGTGTGTCTTCTGGCTGCCTTGGTGTGCCCTGACCAAGAGAACATGGTGCAGAGCATCCCAGATTAGTACAAACACGCTGTTCAGTGCTGGCTGGAAATATCAGCTGGGCTCAGAACACTTGGGCAGGCTGAGAACCTCCCATGATTTCCCTTGCTGGTGATGGTGTGGGCACTGCCAATGCAAACATTTCTGCCCCATGCTCAATTCGAGTTGTTTTCAAATAGAAAAGTGCAGTAATGTATAATTGTTTCGTTGCTATCATTAATGCAATTATGCTGTTGTAGGGGCACTAAGTGAGCAAAGTACTTAAGTGTCTTGAAATGAATCAAGTTGCACTTGCACCCTTAGCTCTGCCAAGCCCAAATGCTAAAGTTCTGGGAAGTCTGACAGAAGACAAATGAAGACATCCTCGAGGTATGTACTTCTTATACACCTACAGGGAAGTGCTGAGATGTCACTCAGATAAAGAACCATTTCCTATCTACTCTGTCTATTTGACAAATATGGTCATAAAATATATTAACGTAAAAAAGACACCACAAGAAAATAACCACAAAAAAACCCAGACCAACCCCAACAAAAAAACCAACACCCAACATTTTGCCTTCATAAAATAAATTGAAAATAAAAAATTAAGAATTACCTATGAAGTATTTTCAAACAATGGAAAAACTGTGTTAGTGCTATGGTTTAGTTAACAAGGTGGTGTTTGGTCAAAAGTTGAACTAGATGATCTTGGAGCTCTTTCCCAACTTTAATGATTCTATGAGGAAAAAAGATTAAGTTATTCATTTGCTTTGGTTTGTTGTGTTGGGTTTTATTTCCATAGAGAAAAATGTTGTTAATAAGAACTTAACTTAAACATGCAGAAAGAAATTTCTTTTACTATGTGCCATTGAAAAACTCCACAGAAAATAAAACTTTTATAGAAGATTTCATTTTGTGACAATTCAGCTCTTTTTGATTCCCTCAAAAGTCTTTCTGGTGTGCTCAGCTTGAGCTGGATGGGGCATTAGTACTGCATGTACTAATTGATTTTCTCAGTAACATTCGGGACTTTTGAGCCTCAGGACAATTTTATATTCCATATTCCAAGCCTCCTTCTTGTCCTGTATAAAAAGGTGAAAAGCTTTTGGGCAAAATCAAGGCTTGATGCATTTGTTCCTGTGGCTCTTGGCTGCCCTCAAGCACAGGAGTGCTGAGCCCTGTGGCTCCCCACCAAAACTTGCCTGCAGTCAAGAATGAGCCTACAGGCAAGAATGAGCGTGAGATAGATACAGGGAGGAAATATTCACAATTCAAACTCCTGGTGACTGCTGATAGTGGAAATATTCCAATATCTTCCTACATCTACATTTGGCTGACGATCTGGAAAGTGCCAACCGTCCTTGACTTAATGAGACTTCCTTCTCATCTGTATTCAATATGCCTGGCAATATCCATCCTCCTTATCAAGTGAGGACGCCTTTGGGGGCCCCATATTCAAAGAAATTCATTGCAAGTCTCCTGCTGGTTGAAATCAGAGTGGAACCAGGCTGCTGCTTCACACACAGAGGCTCAGACCTGCAGGGTGCCTGGCTCCATGCCCTGCATCCAGCCAGCTCCTCTACACAGAACTGTAAACATGTGCACAGTCCCCTTGGCTTGGGGGTTTTACTGCCTTTTAATCTTCCAAACAGCACTGGAGCAGCAGAGCTAGACAGACATGTACCAGGAACTTTAAGGAAGTGCCTGTCCTGCTCCCATATAGTCACAGTTTGGAGGTAGAAGCAATCTCTTTTCTCAGATCAATGCAGCTGAGAGCAGACAAGTTCCTGCAGGATGCACTGGTCTGCAGGACCAAGATGACAGAAAATGTGCTGCTGTGTGTCTACCAGCACCATTTTAAACACTGTTCTGTAAGAGAACCATCAAAACTCATGGTTCCTGTATGCCTTCATCCCAACATGTGATAGACTTAGAATCACAGAATCATTTAGGTTGGAAAAGACCTCTAAGGTGTTTGAGTCCAAGCTCTGAACAAACATCACCTTGTCAACTAGACTAGAGCATTAAGTGCCGTGTCCAGTCGTTTCTTGAACACCTCCAGGGATGGTGACTCCACCACCTCCCTGGGCAGCTCCTTCCAACACTTAACAAACCTTTCAGTGAAGAAATTCCCAACCTGAACCTCCCCTGGCTCAGCTTGAGGCCATTTCCTCTCATCCTGTAACTAGTTTTCTGGGAGAAGAAGCCAACCCCCAACTTGCTACAACCTCTTTCAGGGGATTGTAGAGAGCAATAAGGTCTCCCCTGAGCTAATTTTCTCTAGGCTGAGCACCCCGAGCTCCCTCAGTTGCTCCTCATATGACTTATTCTCTAGACCCTTCCCCAGCTCCATGCCCTTCTCTGGACATGCTCCAGCACCTCAGTGTCTCTTGCAGTAAAGGACCCAGAACTGGACACAGCACTGGAGGTGCCTCACCAGTGCCCAGTACAGAGGGACAATCACTCCCCTAGTCCTCTTGCCCACGCTATTTTTGATACAGGCCAGGATGCCACTGGCCCTCTTGGCCATCTGGGCACACTGCTGGACACACTACGTCACCCATTGCCCCAAATGCCTTCTTGGAAAATATTCACCGAAGTGAAAACAACAGTTGGCATCTGCATGAGATCTGAAAAGAAAAGCCCTGAAGTACTGGAACATCAAGGTATCAGTGTGAGTACATCTTGCACAAAACTGCAACTCCATCTTAGTCCTGAGGGTGATAAAAGACTCTACTTCAAAAGATGAATTTAAGAGCTAAAATTCTTGTCTTCTGTCTACTAAAACGCATTCCTCCTCAGAGAGACTCAGCCTTGTCACGTTATACTTTTCCTCAAACCTCAGCCTCAGCTAACCCTTTAATGATTCACAGATAGTAATTAACTCTCCCTTTTTGAGTCAAATGAGTTAGCAACTCCCTCACTCCTGTCTTTTCTAAGAACCTTTTTATCCTTTATTCCTTTACTGCTTCACTTAAATTGTCTGATTAACACAATTATGTTAAACTCAATGCAGCTTTTCCCTCTCCTTGTTTTTAGGCTGAAGCTTGACTTGCCTATTCAGAACCAAAGAAATTTTCACTGATTAAAAGTTTATCTCTTGTTTGATTGTGTTTGCAACCAGGTGAGCTCCACAGCAACCTTACCATAGCTAAGAGGAGTTGGGAGTTATGAGCATGTGAAGTATTATTTCACCAAATAACAGTGGGAAAACAAAAAAAAAACCAACCCTGGGATGCTATTTGGGATGAAAAGAGTTCAGAGAAGCTTTGTGCAATGAGTTTCCCACTTTCCCAGGCAGCTGGGGGGGATGATACCCATCCCTGGCTTACAGGTGGGAATAGGGCTCTCCTATTCCTTGCATTAAGAATTTTAGATCAAATCTCTTCAGACTTTGACACCTTGCACAGCCACATGTGTGTGAAGAGAGGATTTTGCTTGGTTGGCCTTGGGGTTTATTTTTTTGGGAGGTCTTTTTTAATCCTGAAGATATGAACCACAAAGAGGTGGGATAAGGGGATAAATGGAAAGGCAAAGTCCCCCAACACACCATTTTCCTGAGTAGGCTGAAAAGCTTTCTCAGAGAAGGGAGCTCTGTTCTAAAAGGAAAGAAAGGTAAAATGGAAAAAAAAAAAAAAGCCTTCAGTTTGGACAGCTCGTTCATCGTTTTAGTGCTACTCAGGTTATTTTAGGTCACAGCAGTTGCTTAATGGGCTCTCTTGGTTGACTATGAAGCATTCCAGCAGGGAAAAGAGAGTGCTTTTCACCATTAATTTTCTCTGAGCTTGCCTGAGCCTCCCAAGGGAAACCTCCCCACCTCCCCTGAAAGAAAATGCCTCTGTAGGAAGTGCAGCAGCCCAGCACACACTGCTAACACTGCTGGGGGGTCATGCAGTGCACATCCCTGGGGGGGGGTTTGTACTTTCTGAACTATTCCTCCTTTTTTTTCCACAATGGATGTTATGCTCCTTTTCTTAAGGATTTCAGGGCAGGAAAAAGGCTCTGTAACTATTTTCAGGGTTGACAAGGGCCCTATAAACTTCCCAGCAGGACTTCAGCGTGGGACCAGTTGGTATGGCAGCTCCTCACTCTGCAGCATCCTCCTCCTGGCTCTGCCCTCCAAGGTGAATGATTCTCCCCTTCACAGGCACCTGCTTTTCACCAGATGGTGGGAGAGGGGACAAGTGTCAGGGATGACCCTGAGCACAGAGCTGACTGGACAGAGCCATGGTGAGAGGG